TCCTCCCAGCCATTCCCCTACTTTTCCCATCCCTGTCAAATCCATCGGACATGTTTCGTACCTCAGCCTATTGCTTAGCTAGCTCTTAGTAGTTTGCCTAGATAACGGACCCGAAGAGATGTGGGGTTCCTTAGCGAAAGTGCAAAAAAGTTTGGTAGCCCTGATTTCAAGTGCCAGGTTTGCTCTCAGCCCGTAAATTTCAGGGCAACTTTTGGGGCACCTCAGCCTCTCAAGTTCTGGCTCCAAACCAATCGATAGCCCTGCTCTGAAAGCCTCTCCTGCTGCTGCTCTGCTCTCCTATGTCTTTCCCCCTGACGGCAGTAGCTTGGTCAGTTCTGGGAGCAACAAACTTGACTGACGGCAGTTCAGGCATGAGACGACCAGTTGTGGACCATAGAATTTGCGATAACTCGGTCCGATGGCGTCCTTGGAGAACGAAACGATGAGAAAACTTTCTTGAAGACGTGGTATTGGCGACAGACACAATGGCTTCGCCAGCCGCGAATATGACAATGTCGAACGCGACAGTAACGGAGGTGGCTATGGCGGAGATGCTAGCGCAGCTGGCGGCGGTTGAGGCGGAGTGGGTGAGCGTAGCGGAGCGCGCGAAGGGCATCGTGCATCTGACGACGGGCATATGGCGGATGATGGCCGCCTTTATCGTGCTCTTCATGCAGGTGATTAGCAGCGTCGCAGATCGTCGCAGGGTGTCGCATGCACCCTGGCGACAATGATAGCGAACGTCGCCAAGCTGGAACGAAGCTGCTGTAGCTGACTGTCAATCAGCTTGCTGTAGCTGCCTGTTAAGCAGCCCGGCTGTAGCCGACTGTACTTTATTCCATGCTGGTGAGGTTATAGCGGAACGGTGGCAGAGAGCAGCACAGGCGGTTGTAGCAGAGATGCCGCAGAGAGCAGCAGCGGATGTAGCAGGGAAGTAACCTATTCCAGGCCACGTGCTCTGCTTACAGCAACAGTGCTGTATCCGGTCCATTCATCATCCCATTCTCTCACTCATGAGTGGATGATTTGTTTAGCATTCTTGAAAATACCCCTCCCTTCCTCGTGTGTGTGTGCTCACCATGCACCCACGCGCTCACCATGCACCCACGCGCTCACCATGCACCCACCCACTGCCATACCTGCTCGTCGCACTTTTTTCAACCTCGCAGCTGTGTTGCTTGCTGATCGAGGGGGCACATTGCTTGCTCTGTTTACATTGAAATGCGCTATCCCATGTACCCACTCGAACACTGCGCACACACTCTCTCACTGCACAGCTCGGCTTTTCTTTAATAGAGGCGGGCACCATTCATTACAAGGACACGCCCAACGCAGCATCATCATGATGATTAAGAACGTGTTGGACATGTGTGCTAGCGCCACCCGCGTGTGATAAGTCGATTTCTGAGTCGACAAAAATCATGATAAAGAACGTGTTGGACATGTGTGTCGGCAGTGCCATCGCCCGTATCCCTTCCACCTCCTCTTTCCACCTCCTCTTTCCACCTCCTCTTTCCACCTCCTCGTTCCACCTCCTCGTCCACCACCTCGTTCCACCACCTCGTTCCACCACCTCGTTCCACCACCTCGTTCCACCACCTCGTTCCACCACCCATCCCACCCTCCCAGCTCGGCTTCTCTCTAATAGAGGCGGGGACCGTTCGTTACAAGAACACGCGCAACATAATGATCAAGAACGTGCTGGACATGTGTGTCAGCGCCATTGCCTTCTGGCTCATCGGCTTTGCCATTGGCTTTGGGAGTGGCTCTGATTTCATCGGCTGGCAAACACCCTCCGGCACGGTAAGACCCTCAGGCTCGTTAAGAATCTCCGGCTCGGAGGCCCTCAGGCATGGTAAGTCCCTCAGGCTTTGGTAGGCGCTCGCTTAGGCTTGGTAAGGCACTCAGGCCCAAAGGCACTCAGGCCAAAGGCACTCAGGCCCAAAGGCACTCAGGCCCAAAGGCACTCAGGCCCAAAGGCACTCAGGCCCAAAGGCCCTCAGGCCCAAAGGCAGTCAGGCCCAGGCACTCAGGCCCAAAGGCAGTGAGGCCAAAGGCAGTGAGGCCCAAAGGCAGTGAGCCCAAAGGCAGTGAGGCCCAAAGGCAGTGAGGGCCCCAAAGCAGTGAGGCCCAAAGCAGTGAGCCCAAAGGCAGTGGGGCCCAAAGGCAGTGAGGCCCAAAGGCAATGAGGCCCAAAGGCAGTGAGGCCCAAAGGCAGTGAGGCCCAAAGGCAGTGAGGCCAAAGGCAGTGAGCCCAAAGGCAGTGAGGCCCAAAGGCAGTGAGGCCCAAGGCATGAGGCCCAAAGCAGTGAGCCAAAGGCCCAAGAGGCAGTGAGGGCCCAAAGGCAGTGATGGCCCAAAGGCAGTGCGGCCCAAAGGCCGTTGAGGCCAAAGGCAGTTGAGGCCCAAAAGGCAGATGAAGGCGTGGTAATGTTGATCTATTCGGGCTCCCATTCTGCGTTTCACTCTCACCCCATGCTGTCTTCCTACCTAGCTGCACACTCTCCCGATGATGCCTTTCTCCGCATCATGCTGTTCCCATTGTAATGCCATCGTGCGCCACACACCATGCGTCCATGTGCCGTGCCACTTGCGATTGCCCATGCCTCATGCCCCATGGCCCACGGCCCATGCTCCATGCCCAATGTGTCAAACCGTGCATTTCTTTAGTTTTTATTGTTTACTCCTAGGTGGTGTACAATTCTGTTGAGGCTTAGGGTTAGGTCTGCTATATCTTTGCTTTATTCTCTCATTCTAGTCATTCATTCTCTCGTTCAGTTGTTAACACCATGCCCTCCATGTCTCGCCTCGCAACAGGTGTCGATGGCAGTGGTGCCCCATGAGAGCGGGGCGCTATTCTTCTTCAACTTTGTCTTCTGTGCCACCAGCGCCACCATCTTTGCTGGTGCTGTGGCCGAGAGGACTCAGATCACCGCCTACCTCTTCTTCAAGTGTGTAACCACCTTCCTTCTTTATCAGTCGACTCAAAACTGACTTGTGAGCAGAATCTTGAGTCGGCTAAAAAACCATCTTCGCTGGATCCGAGGCCGAGAGGACTCAGCAAGTAACCACCTCGCTTCTAGCCTTGCCTTTTCTGCAAATGACGGTTATTGCTTGTCTCTCTCTCTCTCTCTCTCTCTCTCTCTCTCTCTCTCTCTCTCTCTCTCTCTCTCTCTCTCTCTCTCTCTCTCTCTCTCTCAAATGGTCCGTTGTATTAATTCAGCAGGGGTACAGATATGCAGTTCTATCCATGATAACCTCGATCCCATAAGCCCATCAACTCACCCCTCATCCCCCCCCTCCCCTGAGTGACCCTCTAGCCCTCCAGCGTGTGGAGGATGTCCCCCAGGTGCAGCGGCCAGGGGTCCGCTGCCATCTGGGGGTGCGCTGCCTCAATCCCAGCCCTGGCCTTGGTGTGCAGGGCGTTCGCCTGGGAGCGCTGGAGGGCCACTGACCAGCGCTGGCTGAAGTGGCAGGCCATCTTCTTGGCGGATTTCGCCAAGGGGCTGGCCCTGAAGCGGTTCCTAGCTGCTGCTGTGGCCAGCAGTTTCCTCTCTCTCTCTCTCTTTCTCTCTCTCTCTCTCTCTCTCTCTCTCTCTCTCTCTCACACACACACACACACACACACACACACACACACACACGTACGCACGCACGCACGTACGCACGCACGCACGTACGCACGCACGCACACACACGCACGTCTCATGCGCTCTCCTCTTCATACGCATGTCTCACAATTTGCTCCCCACGCCTCCCGCCCAGCTTCTTCCTAGCAGCCATAATCTACCCGGTCATCGCGCATGTCATCTGGTCGCACCATGGGCTGCTCTCAGTGGCACCTGTGCTGCTTTGCTTGCTCCCCATTGTCAACCCCCCACCTCGCCTCCCTCCGCCCAGCTTCTTCCTAGCAGCCATCATCTACCCGGTCATCGCACACGTGATATGGTCGCACCACGGGCTGCTGTCAGCTGATGCGGGGGACTACGTGCTGGGCACCCGCGGTGTGCTCGACAATGCCGGCTCCATGGTCGTTCATGTCACTGGTGGGTGGGTGGTGGATGGTCACAGGTGGGCATGGCACAGGTGGGTCGTCGTGGATGGGCATGGTGGGCGTGGCATGGGCTGCTGTCAGCTGATGCGGGGGACTACGTGTTGGGCACGCGCGGCGTGCTCGACAATGCTGGTTCCATGGTCGTTCATGTCACTAGTGGGTGGGTGGTGGATGGCATGGCACAGATGGGTGGTGGGTGGGGCATGGCACAGATGGGCACAGGTGGGCATGGCACAGATGGGCATGGCACAGATGGGCATGGCACAGATGGGCATGGCACAGGTGATCTCAAGTGCTTTCTTTGTAATATGTGCTCTTTGCTCCTTCCTGTATAGTGAGCAGCTGGTAACCTGGTTTCGTTTGTAATACCATCGAACATGCCCTTGACAGGTGGCGTCACCTCATTGGTTGCTGCGTGGATGGTCGGCCCACGGATAGGAAGATTCGATATTGATGGCCGCGTTGTACCCTTTAGAGGGCACTCCCTGGTAAGATACTATCGCAATGTGATGGTCTGTAGTTTCAGCCTCATGGTCATTACTAGACCATCTCTAGTCTCTACATGGGCATTGGTTAGACTGCTCACTCACCACTACAAAACCGTCCAACCTCTTTTCATCCTCCTCGTCCTCCCTCTTCCTCCTCCCGCCGCTCTCCCCCTTCTCTCACCCTCCCACCCCTCTCCCCCCCCGCCCTTCTCCCCTCTCATGACAGGGGGCACCATCATCCTCTGGCTGTGCTGCTGCTGCATGTGGGGGGTCAGGGACAGCACTGCACTACCGTCCACCCTCCACTCAGTCTCCCTTTTCCCCTCTCCCCCCGCTTCCCCTTCCCTCCCTCCGTCCACAGGTGTTCATAGCAGCGGGCACCATCATCCTCTGGGTGGGGTTCTTCGGGTTCAACGGCGGCTCAGTGCAGTACCTGGGGCAGCCCGCCTCCGTGTGGGTGGCCGACGTCGCGCGCGTGTGCGCCAACACCACCGTGTGCGCCGCCTTTGCGGGCGTGGCGGTGTGGTTTGTGACGTACCGGCGGAGGGAGCCGAATCTGGAGGACACGCTGAACGGCGTGATTGGCGGGCTCGTGGCCGCCTGTGCCACGAGCAGTATTGTGGAGGCATATGCTGCGTGCATCATTGGTGAGTGCATGCAGGGAGCTGGTGGGTCGGTGGTAAGGAGCTGGTGGGCTACGTTGGCAGATACGCGTCCCAGGGTATAATACGCTAGCGTATTATACGCTGGGTATATACGCGGTACGCCAGGGCTGGCGTACTGGTGATACGCAAAAATACGCTGGGCGGGCAGGTAAAACTTTTTCCCGGGCAGGGCTAAAAAAACCTGTTTCAGGGGGGGGGGATTGTTTTCCAAGAACACAAGTCATAATTTAAATTTCATAAATATCCTGAAATACATATTTGGGGCTACTTCTCCCCATACATCCCCACCCCACCCCACCCTCTAGCTAGCTTCCCCACAACCGATTTCCTTGCGGGGCTTTTCCACCACCACACCTTCCCCATACTCATACACCAGCACTGCATCCTCTCCTTCCTCCCCCAGCATGTCATCCTCCTCCTCATCCATGTTATAGCCGGGGGGGATAGGGGCATCCGGGATGTTACCGGGCACAACCGTGCTGCCCCCATCCTTCTTGTACCAATTGCGCACAACGTTCCAGTTGTGCGCAATGTAGACGAGGTCCGCACACTTGGCGGACCCGAGCCGGTTGCGGCGGGCGGTGTGGACGCCTTCCCACTGCGCCCAGCCACGCTCGCATGGGGAAGCCAAGACGGGCTGAGTGAGCACCCGGCATGCGAGGGCGACAAGCTCAGGATACTCGGTGCTGTGCCACGACCACCACTGCACCATGCTCATCTCCCCCTTCTTCACTGCCTCCCTTGCAGAAATGGCGCCCGGCTTGCCAAAGCTGCCCTCCATGTTGATGTAGGTCAGCAATGCCTCCTGCAGCACAAGGGAGGCGCGGCGAGGGGCGCCATCCTTGCCACGCTTGAAGGTCTTGTTGTCATAGTGGCGCTCGATGTAGTCCTTGAACACCCGCGTGCACTCCACATCGTTCCTGAAAATTCCCTACTCCTGGTTGGCCGGATTCAGGATCCGGCCAACCACATGCATGGGGCAGGCAAGGGAGTTGTCCCACCTGTCCTTCACAATCTTGGTGATGTCTGCCCTCTCTGTCCGAGTCAAGAAGTCACTTGAAGCGTCGAGCTTGTCATTGATGTCCTCGGTAAGCTGTAGCATGATGTTATACAGCTTACCCATCATGCCTTTCGCGGAAGAGTCCGTGGCCCGCATGGCCTTGAATGGCACCGCCATGAGAGAGGTAAAGAACTCCGCCACCCCCCACCACTCCTCATCCATCACAGCAGCCCTGAATTTCTCAGCTGCTGTCTTCCTATCCTTGTCCGCCGCTGCCCACACCTTCCACTCGTCGCTGAGCACCATCGCCGCCAGCCCACTCCTCACCTCACATAGCCGGGCCATGGCTATGTATTGTGTCCCGAACCTGGTTCCCGCAGGCTTGAGCACCTGCTTCCCCCCCACTTTCTTCATATAGGCACGGGTAAAGTGGTGGTTGCGCACGAAGGTAATCATCTCCCCTCCTTTCTCCACAAGCCCCTTCGCCCATCCCATTTTGCCCATATCTTCCATCATCAGGTCCAGGACATGCGTGGTACATGGCACATGCTCAATGTGCGGCCATGTGCTCGCAATCTTCTTGGCGGCCGATGCATAGTTGCTGCCGCCATCGGTGCAGACCGCCACCACATTCTCCGGCCCCACCTTATCAATGACGGGGCGGAGAAGGCTGGCGATGTACCCCCCGGTCTACGACTCCATGTTGCAGTCCACCGCCTGCTCGAAAACTGCGCCGGAGTCGTTGACAAGGAGCACGTTGGCCTGCGGGCGGCCACAACGGTCGGTCATCATGTCCGACGACACCGTTACCCCCGTCCCGCTTCCAGCTCGCGGCAACGGGGGCGAACGCGACCTCCATTTTCTGCCGCACCTTCTTCAAGCCTGCCCCTCCAATGTAGCGCCTCTTAGGAGGGACGTACCCAGGTCCAGCGCGCGCAATGCACTGGACCGCGTAGCGGAAGACCGGATCGTCCGCAATGCGCTCCGGAAGTTTCAACGCCGCGAACAGAAAGCAAAGCGCGTTATCCGCGTCCTCCTTGGCGCACGTCGCCTCATTGCCAAAGAAATCTGTAATTTTGCTCTTTTTCTCCGGGTTTCCACTGACAGCGTCAAGCGCGGAGTGAATTGCAGCAGCGGCCGCCCCTCGCTTCAAGTCCTGCTGTTCCGCCTTGGTCTCGTACATGCCACGGACTTCATCGCGGACTGCCGTGGGCGCGTCCTTGCATAACGCCACAGCGCGCTTCTCCTGCCCTTTCCATGTCGCGAGATGGATTGCACAGCGGTTTGTTCCGCCCTCGAACTTCTTGCCACAAAACTTGCACAGCTTGGGGTTGCCTTTGGTGTGAAATGGAATGAGGAAATGTTTCAGAATGGGGTGAGATAGTCCAGCCTCAACAGGATCCGTGTTGACGGTAGTAGAGCCATGGACAGAGGCTGGATTGTTGTTCGTCGAAGTACTAGGAGCTGAGCCCGACGCCATGGCGCACTACGTAAGTCTAACTAACGAAGAAGAGTGGAGAAATGCGGGAAGGAAAAGGAAGAGCATTTGCGCAACGTCGACCTATACGTGCAAACGATGGAAGAACATTTGAAGGGGGTGGTTGGGATTGAGAGGTTGGGTGGGGTGATGTGTGGTTGAGGGGGTGGGAAAGTTTGGATTTTGAAATTCGAAGTTCAGAAGTGGGGTTGGGCACATGAGCGAAGTCGCGGTAACACTTCGCGACTTCGCACATCGTCGCGAAGTTTTTCAATTTCGGATTTTTTTTTTCGCCGGGCTGCCCGGCCGTATTTTCGCGAATTCAGAGCGTATCAGCGTATCACGCATATACGCTAGCGAATATACGTGATACGCCAGCCTTTCAAGAGCGTATCTGCCAACATAGCTGGTGGGTCGGTGGTAAGGAGCTGGTGGGTCGGTGGTAAGGAGCTGGTGGGTCGGTGGTAAGGAGCCGGTGGGTCGGTGGTAAGGAGCTGGTGGGTCGGTGGTAAGGAGCTGGTGGGTCGGTGGTAAGGAGCTGGTGGGTCGGTGGTAAGGAGCTGGTGGGTCGGTGGTAAGGAGCTGGTGGGTCGGTGGTAAGGAGCTGGTGGGTCGGTGGTAAGGAGCTGGTGGTCGTGGTAAGGAGCTGGTGGGTCGGTGGTAAGGAGCTGATGGGTCGGTGGTAAGGAGCTGGTGGGTCGGTGGTCAGGAGCTGGTGGGTCGGTGGTCAGGAGCTGGTGGGTAGGTGGTCAGGAGCTGGTGGGTCAGCGTCACACCTGGCACCTGGCAGCACCTCTCCAGAGATTGATTCGAGTGTACCTGCCAATTCGTTTCTCCTTGCATACATCATCCATCCATCCATCTCCCTGCATGCATCATCCATCCATCCATCTCCCTGCATGCATCATCCATCCATCTCCCTGCATGCATCATCCATCCATCTCCCTCCATCCGCCTTTCAGGGGCCATAGCAGGCGTGGTGTACCTGGGGGGGGGTGTATCTGGTGAATAAGGCCCGCATTGACGACCCTGTTAATGTGAGTCTCACTGCCTTGCTCGCTAGGTGACTTTTGAGTCGACTCAAAAGTCAGCTCGCTGGCTCACTGCCTCGCTCGCTGGCTCACTGCCTCGCTCGCTGGCTCACTGCCTCCCTGCCTCCATGCGTCTTCTCCCATCGTCGCTTCATGTCCCCTTGGGGGGGTGTATCTGGTGAATAAGGCCCGTATTGACGACCCTGTTAATGTGAGTCCCATTGCCTCACAGCCTCAAAGCCTCACAGCCTCATAGCCACACAGCCTTACAGCCTCACAGCCTCATTGCCTCATTGCCTCATGGCCTTACTGTTTCAGTGCCTCTCTGCTTCCCTGCCTCCATGCCTCTTCTCCCACCGTCGCTTCATGTCCCCTTGTCCCACCCACCATGCATCCCTCCTAGGGATGAGCAAAGGGCGAACTCGAACACGTTCGGGTTCGAGTTCGCTCGAACATCACCATTTCCCGAACTGAACAAGGTTCGGTTCGGCGAACAATTTGGCAAGCAGGAGGTGTTCGCCGTTCGCCCATGGGGGCGAACATTTGGTATATGTGGGCGAACTCGAACATGTTCGGTTCGAACATGTTCGAGTTCGCCCGTGGGCAATTTCGTTATAGTCACATTGGTCAAACAGGGAATCTGGAGGGTTGGGAAGATAGATAGGGGGGTGGAGGGTGTATATGTGTTCATGCAACGCACACTAGCATACGACACCATCATGTTTTGCCTATATAAAAGTCACTGTCAAATTAAATCCTACGCCTGCACACCACTGCTACTACCAACAACAGCATGCTCCGCGTCAGAGGTGTCGCCAGCACCCACCCCCTCCTGCTCCTCCTCCCCCTCCTCCTCCCACTCGTCGTCCTCATCCTCCCCCTCGCCTTCAATGGCGAACTCTGGTGGTGCCTCGCCTTTTGCACGTCGGCCCTCGCCTATCCTCTGTCCAGGGTGTGAGCTGTACCATGATCTGAGAATCATGGAAGCTTGCGTCCTCTGAGAGGCTAGGCGGTGCCGCTTCCAGGAAATGAGGTTGCGGCCGAGGGAGAACACGCGCTCGCTCGACGCGGACGTGGCAGGGATGGCAAGATAATCCCGGGCCATGCGCTTCAGCGTCTGCATGTTGGTGGCGCTGCGCCAATACTCCAACGCTGACACGTCGCACCGCACCCTCTCAGATAAGTACCTGCCAACCTCGTCATCCTGCACCATCCCACCCCTCCCCACCTCCTAGCTCGCCGACAGACACGCCGCAAGGCGTCGGCGACTGGGGAGAAACTCGGCGTCTTCGTCGTCATCCGCCGCGTCTCCCTCCTCCTCCTCCGTCACTGGGGCAAGTGGGGTCGGCCGAGGGGCAATCGCTGCAGCCCGGGCCTGGTACTTGGCCACGCGTTCGCGAACCAGCTGGATCACCTCGCCTGACGAGGAACGAGGCCTCGCCCTCCGGTCGGTATCGGGATGCAGCGTCTCCCAGTGCGCGTCGTCGAACCACGCCGCCTTCATGGAAGGGTCCAGGAAGGTCGCGATCCACAACTCGTTGCTTGACATCAGCTCATACTTCTTCAAGAGACTCAGCGCCGCCTCAATCATCGGCTTCAGCGTAGCCGATGGCCCCTTGGCAAGGCGCGACTCCATAGCGTCGATCAGGCCGTTGTAGTACGGCAGGACCATCGCCACTGTAGGGTACGCCGCTCCCTCCGCGGCCTTTGAGACTTTGGCGAATGGGCTGAGGAAGGTCTTGACAGAATGCAGAGTCTCCCAGTCTGCGTCCGTCAGGCGCAAGGTGTCCAGCTTCGCCTTGTCAGCCTTCGACACGCCCTGTCGGGTAGAACGTATGGGTGGGCGGGTGTTAGGGTGGAAAGTGGGGTGGTTGAGGTTGTTGGAGGTCCGATAAGTTTAGTCAAGCATGGCCAACAGTGGTGCAAGTCCTAGAACAAAACACCCCGACATACCAACACATAAAACCGCATACACAACACCTGGCACACACACACACCTGTGTCTGGGCAAAGAAGACAGAGATGGGTTCCTGCAGAACCCCAGCTCGCTCGACCATGTCGTGGGTCGACCCCCAGCGTGTGGGACTGTCCTGCACCAGCTTCAATGCCGGCTTCGGTTTGGCGGGGTTGCCCTGCGCGTTCAGGGTCCGCTGAAGGCCCAAGAACTTCCCTGAGCGCTGCGGCAAGAAGCCTATCCACGACGCCATCTCTCTCAGAATCTTCAGCAACTTGCGGATGGCGGTCACAGCGAGAGCTGCCTTCACTGCAAGGTTGATCACGTGTGCCAGGCATCTGCGCACATCACAAAACATTAATGGCGGAGAGAAAGGGAAGTGTGAGTACACATTGGCATAGACCCGAGAAACACTACCACTCTCAAGCCGCATAGGCCCACCCGCCCGTACTACAACCACAAAATGTTCACAGGAACGACGCACCCAGACTCCCTCATCGCACATCCCACGCACACTCCCTTTCGTACCGGAAGTGCATGCGCGAGTTGAAGAAGCACTGGCCACCACCCTCCTCCGACATCCACCTGAAAGCAGCAGTGTTGCTGGAGGCGTTGTCTGAGGTGAACCCAAGACAACGCGTCTCCAACCCCCACTGCACCACCGTCTCCTCAACCACCCTCGCCATCTGCTTGCCCGTGTGACGCCCGTGAATCTCGCGGAATTCAAACACCATTGTGCGGAGCTGGTAATTCTCGTCGATCCAGTGACCCGTTACCACTAGCCACGCCCTGTTGTTGGGCGCCGACCACATGTCGATGGTGAATGACACCCTGCACCCCAGCTCCCCCTCCTTCGCCAGCATCTCCACAATGGCTGACTGAAGAGCGGCAGCCGCATAGACCACTGTGTCGCGGGAAACCGTCCAGCGCGAGGGGATGAAGTTCTTCTGCGCGCAGTTGCGGTTTAGCAGGATGAGTAGCTCATGAAACTGGAGAGGGGTAGAGACAAGGGGGGAGAGGGGAGTAAACGTCAGGGGGATGGGATGAAAATAATATAGCACTGGGCCACACGCAAACAGTCAAAACACAAAGGGACAGACCCGTCCACTAACCACATACTTGCCCAATCATGCATGGGATGGGATGGGGCACTTACAGCCTCGGCCTCGACGATGCGGAAGGGGAGGTCGCAGGTGACCACCAGCTTCGTGATCGCCTGCCGTAGCTGCACCGAGGTCAGTTTGGTTGTCATCCACCGCTCCATCCCGCCTGACACATGACCTCCACCAGTCGCCATCCCTTTCCCCTTGGCGAGCTGCGGCCAAGTCTTGGCATGTGGCCACTGATAGACGTAGCCATCCGGCACTCCCTTGTAGCCCCCATGGGGAAACGTCTCCCCTGGCAAGTGAACGGACGGGGGTGTGGTAACGGGGATGCCACACATGCATGTGCGCAGTGTGGAAGCTCGCAAAGTGCCGCTCGCCAGGGGTTGTTGTGGATTGCTTCCACGAAAACTTGTCTGTGCAAATCTTGCACTGACGCTTATCGTCTGCCCCTAACGGTCCAAACATCATTACTTGCCACCCCGGCTTCCTATTACCCTTGCCAGTCCCCTTACTACTCTTGGACCCTCCGTCCTCGTCTAGGAACTCGGGAGCGATCACACCCTCGCCCAAGGGCTCCCCAGTGAACGTGCAGGGATACGCCCGCTCCCTCAACTTGTTGGCCTTCTTCCTCTGCCTCGGCTCCCTAATGGTCACGGCCTTTCTCCCCCCCACCTTAACCCCCACGCTCCCTCCCCCTTCACGCACATGCTGTGATCCCGCCTCTGTCGCCGCCCTTCCACCACCCTCTCCCACCTCCTCCTCCCGCCCCTCTGACTCCAACCGATCCATCTCGTGGTCTTCATCATCATCATCTCCCCCCTCCCCACCGCCATGCGTCTCTGGGTCCCACGCCGCCTTGCTGTCATCCCCGCTCCCCTCAGTGTCCTCCTCCTTCTCGCCCTCACCATACTCCTCCTCATCCTCCTCCTCACTGCCGCTCTCCGGCTGCGTCTGCGTCTGCCCCGAAGGAGGGGGTCGAGGGCCGTCGTAACGGAAAGAGCGACGAGAGGTCGGCGCCGGTACGGTAAGCAACCCCCCAACGAAGATCGCGCCGGCTCCTCCCGGTCCATCCCCTACTCGCCCCTGCATAGGTCGTGGTGGAGAACCCGGTGCGCTGCCCTGAGCCCTGCCTGCACCTCGGCCTATGGATCCACCAGCCCTGGAAGCCATAACTCCGCCCTCGACCCTAAACCCTAAAACACCCTTCCTGCAACGGTAGCGTTGGATGGTGCCGCACGTTCCTAAACGTTATCCCGCACGGTTAGGTCTCTGAAATGCCCGATCCGAATCCTACGGCGTAGGATACGCCCTACTTGAGCCCTTTGCGGAGATGCTGGCTGAACCTTAATAGTAACCCTAAACACCCTACACTACGTTAAACCCTATGCATAGATCTAATGTCCGTGTACATTGCAAGTATCAGCGTGCACTTGCTTGCACCTAGAACAAGAAGGCGAAAACGAGTTCTGAGTTTGAGCTCACGAAATGAGCTCAAACACAAATTGGTCGCGACCTAAATCTGGTCGCGGCCAATTTTGACGCGAACCTTTTTGGTGTTCGTGTGGCCCCCAAGTCGAACACAAACATGTTCGTGTTCGGCTTGGAGACCCGAAATTCTGGTGCGAACGTCGAACATGTTCGGCCGAACACCGAACATGTTCGGCCCGAACAATTTAGGCAAAAAAAAATGCCTGTTCGAGGCGAACCGAACAGGCGTTCGGAATTTTGCTCATCCCTAATCCCTCCCCACCCCTCTCTCCGCACCTCCACCCCAGCGGACGCCAGTGCCGTCCCGCCTGTGCGTTGCAATTGCAATTGCATTTGCTTCTAGTGCCCCAGCACCAGAAGCATGTGCATTTGCTTCTAGTGCCCCAGCACCAGAAGCGTGTGCATTTGTGCCGTGCCGCCTGTGCGCAACCTGACTTGCTCTTGTCTCTGCACCGGACTTCCCCATCACCATCCGTCCCAACCCACCCCACTCGCCATGTCCCATCCACAGGCCACAGCGGTGCACCTGTGCTGCGGCACGTGGGGGAGCGTGGCCGTGGGCTTCTTCGCCTCGCCAGCAGCAGTGCAGCGCACCTACCAGTTCTCCGACCCCGTGCCCTGCGGCCTCTTCTACGGCTGCGGCGGCTCACAGCTGCTCGTGCAGGTGAAGTCTGGTGGGGTGTGATCTGCTCGTGCAGCTGCTCATGCAGGTGAGGCCTGGTGGAGGTGTGATCCGCACGTGCAGGTGAGGGGGCAGATGTGGTTCCAGGTGTGAAAGTAGTAAATTGAACAAGTAACTTCATTAGAGGAGAAACCTAGCATACATCGTTGGAAGAGAGGCTTGGAAGAGAAAGGCGAATGTGACCATAGGTTGGGTTGACCTCACTTGGGGGAGTGAAGCAACCATAGGTCAAGTGGGTTGGGTTGCCCACACTTTGTAGAAGTGAGGCAACCCTAGGCCCACTTGTCTTGAGATGACCTCTTTTGTGGGAAGTGAGGCACCCATAAGCCAAGTGGGTTGCATTTGGGGGCCCCACCACAATTGGGTGGATTGGCACCCCAAAGTGCAAGACTACACCCAAAGTTGGGTGTAGTCCCAACCCAACTGTACACCACAATTGGTGTACAGTCACATGTGTTGGCATGCTACACAATATATAATTCTAACACCAGGTGCCTCTATAGTAGCGTCTATTTACTCTCTCCTATGTAAACGCACATCCCATCCACTTTTTTTAACTGTTTTAAAGATCGTTAATTGACTGGCTCTCTCTCGTATGTAGACGCACATTCCATCCGCCCTGTGCCTTGCGGCCTCTTTGGCGGTTGTGGAAGAACACAGTTGCTGTAAAGGGGCACACAGCTGCCGTAAAAGGCACTTGCAATCACAAGGGCGTGTCATGTCATGTCGTGTCATGTCACGTCATGTCATGTCATGTCACGTCACGTCAAGTCATGTCATGTTACGTCATGTCATGTCATGTCACGTCATGTCACGTCATGTCACGTCACGTCACGTCACGTCACGTCACGTCACGTCACGTCATGTCATGTCACGTCATGTCATGTCACTCCACTTCCTGTCATGTCACTCCACTTCCCCTGTCATGTCCTCCCAGTGCGCTGTAGTGCTTCTTGTCAGCCCTCCCATCGCTCTTTCCATAGCTTCACTCACTCTATCTCTCTCCGTCTCCCTCTCTCATCCCCCACCCTCCCTCTCCTCAATCGCAGATCCTGGGCCTTCTATTGGTGTACGCGTGGGTGGGCCTCTCGTCCTTTGTCCTGTTCTACGCGCTGCACTATTTCGACGTGTTGCGAGTCAAGAGGCACGAGGAGGAGGTGAGACGGGGAGGCATGGATGGGAGTGTGTGTGTGCGAGGGGAGGGAAGCGGGTAAAGGGAATAGGGGATGGTTATGCGGATGGGGGATTGGGGGAATTCAATTCAGCCGGCGTCTCATGGTTTGTTTCATTCTCCCTTCACTTGCATGATTCTAGTTTTGTAGGTGCCTCTAAATTCGTTGCAAGGTTTGTGCTTCTTCAACCTTCACTTGAATGGGTCATCGAATTTTCTGAGGCGTCTGCCGGATTACATGCTCATGGTCACTCAGATTTTAATTATCCGATCCTGAGTTTCGTGTCTTTGATCTTGATTTGCATCATTGTTTACAAGTTTCTGTGTCGATTCGTTTCTTGCACTTCACCCAAAATCGAACACGGTCCTTGGCTGGTTCGCACCCGATTCAACTGTTTACCTTGATTTTAGGGTTTACAGTATTCCCTCTCTCGACTGGGTACATTTCTCTCCTTCTCTACTCACAGGGGGGGTTGGGCACGGCATATCACGGGGTTAACGACGATCACAAGGTTTGAGTCGACTCAAAAGTCAGCTCAGCTCAACTATAGGCATATCTCTTTCTCCCTCCCTCTCTGCTGACAGGTGGGGCTGGATGTGGCATTCCACGGGGGCAACGACGATGACGAGGCGTTTGACGTGGTGGAGGATGGCGACAGCATGGCACGCAGGCTGCTGACGTGGCGCAAGCTGCAGGTGTGTGGTGTGGGGGAGAAAACATCGTGTGCTGACCTGGCACATATGTCCTTGCTGGGTTGACTGCTGAAGGGTTTCACATCATCTTTGCGCTGATTGGCATATGAAGTTCTGTTACAACCCATGATTGGCATATAAAGTTCAGTTATAACCCATGATTGGACATTGTCGCAATCAGTGCTGGTGTGACAATGTCCATCCATCATCCATCCAGGCTTCAGAATGCCTGCTTCACCTTCTTCCCCTGCTCCATCACTGCTCTCTTGGAAACCCTTATCTTCAAACCACCTTCTTGCTTGTTTCTTCTCATCTTAGCATCTGCACACGTGTCATGTCATGCAACCCCTTTTTCTCCATTCTCGGACCTCTTTTTCTTTTAGACCTTGACAAAATCCGTTGTTACAAGCTGCAACATAATACCTCCCTCCCCATCCCTCTCATCTGACCTTTTGCGTCTCTCCTTTTACCCTCCAAACTCTCGCCCCAGTCAACAGAGCAATCGCCCCTGTGCAAACTCTCTCCTCCAATGCTCTCATTCACCACCTGAGCACGCTCGCCCCCCAACCACCTGTCTCGCCCGTTCATCTCTTTTTTCTACTCTCCCCTTTCCCCCTTCCCCCCTCCTCCCCTTCCCACTGCGCAACCAGCATTTCTCAACGCTCTTCTCCCGAGCAGCCGCCAAGAACACCAGCCGCCACAACGGATATGATTTTTCAGGCATCTGAAATCCCCCCGCTCCTCCCCTTCCCCACCCACAACACAACCAGCATGTCTCAACGCTCTTCTCCCGAGCAGCCGCCAAGAACACCAGCCGCCACAACGGGTACGGCCCAACCGGGGCGGCAGGCAGGGACGGCAAGGGCGGCAAGGGGGGCGGCAAGGGCGGCAGCCTGAGCCAGCTGGCGCAGAGCCTGCACCCCAAGGGGTGGAACGTGGGGGAGAGGAAGGCGCGGCGGCCTGTGTGGCACAAGGCACTGGAGGGCACGCACCTGGGGCGATTCTCGCTGGCCATGTATGAGGCCAACTATATCATGGAGGACACTGTTGAGGTGAGTGCTGCAGTGCAGCGTGCTGGTTTGTTTTTGGAATCTGGAACCTGGTCAACTGGAATCTGGAAAGTCTTGTCTTCCCGTGTGGCACAAGGCGTTTGAGAGCACGCACCTGGGGCGATTCTCCCTGGCCATGTATAAGGCAACTATATCATTGAGGATACTGTGGAGGTGAGTGGGGTGCATTGGTTTCTTGGCTGCATTGCAAGTGGACTAGAAACTGGAAACTGGTAACTGGTAACTCGGCCCGCGTTTCTCCCTGGCCATGTATGAGGCCGGCTACATCGTGGAAGATACTGTAGAGGTTAGTACAGTGCATTGGTTTCTTGATTGTTCGTCAACTGGTAACTCGGCGCATGTGGAACAAGGCCCTTGAGTTGAGAACACACGCCGCTATCTCCGTTTCTCCTACGTTTCGCTCAAGTCTTTTTGTTGAGCATTGATGGTCCACCTGTTCTTATCCCATCTCCTCGTGATGTGTGCGCAGGTGCAATCGTCGAGTCGCGGGGTGTTCATCGGGATTCACGATGGGCACAACGGGAGTGAGGCGGCGGAGTTTCTACGGGAAACACTGTACAACAACATCATGAGTGAGTGTAACACTATACAACAACATCATGAGTGAGTTTGTATTTTAGGCACCTCAAAAAAGCATTGTACAGCCACATTATGAGTGGGCAACGCACTCTGCAACAGTAGATTGAGCTGACTTGTCAGATCGTTCCACCAGAGATCCGGCCCGGCCCGTTCTCACGGCCAAGTGAGGCCCAAACACTGCAATATTTTTCACAAGTCAAGCAATGTGCAGGTGGGTCGTCTGGTGGGCTGTCCCCACTGTGTGAAGCCACCCGCTCTCCCTCCCTATCAACTTGTCTTCCTTTTGCCGTTGGTGCAATCTCGCTTCACTTGCATGTCTCTTGTCCCCAGGCGAGTGCACGGAGGGCAACGGGGTGTCAGTGGAGGCGTTGCGGAAGGGCTTTGACGCAACAGAGAGGCAGCTGGCGGCCATTGTGAGGGAGGCGTTTGAGGAGAGCCCGCACCTGGCCATGGTGGGGGCGTGCTCTGTGGCCGCCCTCATCACCCC